TCTCCTCCTCCATCTCCTCCTCCTTCTCCTCCTCCTCCATCTCCTCCATCTCCTCCTCTGTCTCCTCCTCCATCTCCTCCTCCTCCTTCATGTGTGTTTGCAGCTCATAGTATTTTCATTCATATTGGGAAATTGGTATATATATAAATCATGTCTTAATTATTTTCAATTTCCTTTCCTGTCCTCTTTACCCTCCACCTCTCCTTGGTCCCTTCTCCCATTTCCAAAAACTCTGCCTCCCTGTTTTCTATCCTTTTGCCTTTATATTTTTCTTTATTTATACCCTGGGCTTCTTTTATAAGAGAAATCATATGATATTTAGCCTTTTGTGTCTGCCTCATCTCACCTCACATTACGGTCTCAAGATCTGTCCATTTTCCTGAAAAGGACATGATTTTATTCATCTTTATGGCTGAATAGTACTCCATTCTGTGTTTATCCCACCTTCTCTCTGCCCCTTCATCCATCAGCAGGTATCCAGCCTGTTTCCAAGGCTTACCTATTAACTACACTGCTATAAACATGGGTGTGCATGTGTCTGTATAATATGACATCTTTAACTCTTTTAGGAACATGTTCAGAAGAGGTGTCATTGGGTTGAAGAGACTATCTGGTTTTATTTTTTGAGGAATCTCCACGCTGATCTCCATAGTGGTTGAACTAGTTTACATTCCCACCGACATCCTAGAAGGGTCCTTTCCCCTCACATCCTCCCCAGAACTTGTTGTTTTTAGGGTTCTTGGTGATAGCCATTCTGACAGGGATAAGATGGACTCTCAGAGTTGTTTTGATATTCATTTCATATGTCTCCTGCCATAATGCTTTTGCCTTGGAACCAGACAACCATGGACAGAACTCTCTGAAATGATGAGGCCCAGTGAACATATTTTCCTTCGGCATGAAGACTCAACATAGGAATTTAGTTGGGGATGCAGATCTTCAATCCATGATGTGGATCACAGGGCTGATCTCTTCTTGTATTTATCTCCTTGGGCTACCATAACACAACACCATGGACAGGAGGGAGGATTTGACCACAGTCTCTCATTACTCACAGTCCTGGAGGCTGAGATGTTTGAGCCCAGCCACGGCCAGTCCTGGGTCAGTGAGGGCTGCTCTCTGCTTCCAAAACGGAGCCGGGATTGCTTCGTCCTTGGCATGGGAGGAACACTCGGGCCTCACTTGCCAGGAAGTAGAAGAGCAGAGGAGACAGATTCCTCACATCCAGCCCTTTAGAACGTCCATCCTCAGCCCATTCACAAGGGGGAGCCTGAAGATTCCTGAGACCTTGGAAGGGCTGCACCTCTTAACACCACCCCATCCCCAACACCCGAAGGTCAGAGGAGACTCAGCACAGCAGGGTGTGGTGGGCAAAAGGATAAAGTGAAGGAGAGCCTGTCCCAGCTCAGCATTCTGGTCTTTGCCATGGGGGCCATGAAGGTGCCCCTCACCCATTCAGCGGGTGACAACACAGTGTTCAGACACAGTGGAGATGTTGGTCCTGAGGTGGACATGAAAGTTACCTTCTTCACCCAGAGAAGAAGCCATCTGGCCCATTCCAAGAGGAACAGGGGGCCCAAGTCACAAGCAGGAGTACTGTTCCCCAGTGACACCACCTTCTCAAGCCCAGTAGTGATGGAAAAATGTTCTGGACTTTGATGTGTGCCCCATGGGGACAGGGGGAGTGACTGAATTTTACCCTGGCCACAAAGCACATGGTAGATATACAGATGATAGATAGATGGATAGAAAGATAAGTGGATGATGGATAGGTAGAGGGGTATATAAGTGGAGAGATGAATAGATAAATGGATGGGTGGATGGGTGGGTGGATGGTCGAGATGGATGGATGGGTGGGTGGGTGG